GCCCATCGGGCGGGGCAGGCCGGGGCGGGTGGTGGGGGGTGGTGATGGCACGTACCTCGGTGCATGACACGGCGCGAGTGCATGTGCTCCACGGCGCTGCACAGCTGCACGAAGTACTTCCACACTGTCCGCTCGGGGATGAGCCGCTTCTGCTTCTTAAAGAACTGGTGGGGAGGGCGCCACACAGACAGACAGACAGGCAGACAGGCCTAGGTGAGAGGCTCTGAGGGAGGGTGCAGTAGGCACTGACACCATCTTGTTTTTAGCAGAGAGTGGCCCAGAGCTGACTGAGGTAGCCTCTCTCTGCCCAGGCCCAGCCTAGGCCTGGTCCAGGAGGTGGGTACCAAGCCACATCCCTAGGTTACACCACAACGTCAGGGTCCTGCCCCTCTCCCCTTGGCGCCAGAAGCTTCAGAGCAGCGCGGGTATTTTTGACGTGACAAGAATCTGCCATGAGAGGGTCTTGTATCACCAGACCCCACTTCTGCAGGCACCCCATCTACCTCACTTCCCGGCAACAACACACTCCATAGACATAAACACAACATCAAAACAGGATGCTCTCAAGCGACATGTCACACGAGGTCCTGAAGGGGTAACAGGAACGTGTCCTTGTCCCCAGCTTTCCACAGGGGCTGGAGCTGAGGGCTGGATCTGCAGTGAGCAGAAGGGCCAGGCTGGCCTGGACACCAGTGAGCTTGGTAAGAGGCTTCGGTCCAGGGACTGCCCATTCAGATCAATCCCTTTTCTCAAAGCAGCCAGAGGTGAGACTGGGCTCATGTGTCAGGGCAGCTGCTCTGACACAGGTTCCATTGTGGTGGTCAGGGAAGATGGGGACCAACCAGGATGCCCTCATCACCTGGGCAAGGGGGTCCGGGGTGCAAGAGACAACATGAGCTCCTGTTTGCTGAGCACTGGGTGTGTGCCAGGCACTGTGCCGACCCCTCCATCCGAAGGACTATGCCCATCTTACAGACGAAGAAACTGAGGGCCACACAGTAGCTAGTACTGGCGTCAGGGTGGCATCACAGCTCAGTCCCAGGTCTTCAACAGAAGCTCAGGGGGCAGAATGGAGCTCAGAGAGGCTCAGGAAGGTGCCCGCAGTTGCACAGCTGGAGAGGCAGCCCTGAGAGCCCAACCTGGCGTCCCTGGCTGGTGACAAAGCCTTGGGAGAGCCTCCACTTTGGAAAAGGAACCTCGAGGGGGACCACCCAGGCTCCCAATATGGACTCCCCACCCCAGGGCGCCCCAGGCCTCCAGAGTGGGTTGGGGTCTGGATCCTGTTTACATGCCTCGGTTGGTTAATCCCCATGACGGCATTTAAGGGGGCACGTGTGGCTGTAAGTGGTGATTTTCTAAATGTCACATCCTATAAGCACTGCCTGACATTTAGCAGGAAGGCACCGAGTCTCTGGTGGCTTCCGGGAGCAGCAGCTCCCAGCTTTAGCATCCTCATACACAGCGCTGGGACTGTGGCCATGGACCTGGAGATGGTCTGGTCCAGCCTGGCATGCTAGCAGCCACACAGAGGGCAGCTAGGCCCTGGCCACACCTGTTCCCCTGGAAGCCCACAAGCGCTGGGCGTGAGAAAGACGCAGAAACCTAAGCTCCTGCCAAGTGCAAGAGACTGTGCTGGGCACATGACAGATGAGGAAACCCAGCCACAGGCTGCTGCTCAAGGGTGGGCCTGATGTGTCTGGGGACTTGCCACCACCCAGCCTGGCTTCCCCTGCTCGCTAGGGGACTGCTGAGCTGGCACAGGCACAGGCACAAGAAAGGTGGGGTGGGGCTCCTGAATCAGGATGGCACGAGGAGCCGGAGCCAGGGAGTCCGGCCCAGAATCCAGGCAGATCCAGCTGGCCCTCCCAGCCCTGACTTACAGGGAACTTACTTGAACCCAGGGGCCAGGAGGAGGCACCTAGCCCTCTCAGTCCCAGGCCAGGCACAAGGGGACACTGGACACCCATGTGCCACCTCCTTTCTTTAAAAATGCAGCGTTTCTACCAGGCCCTGCCATTCCCACAATGACTAGTCTTGAGACAGAGTGGAAACTTAGGCTTGGGGAAGGGAGTAGGGAGGGCCTGACCAGGGCCGTCTACCATCAAAGGAGCCCTGGTTGTATTGTCAGGTAAGCGCTGGACCAAAAGTTCAGGGGTCCAAGCCCACCAGTGGCTCTATGAGAGAAGGGTGAGACTGGCTGCATCCATAAAGAATGACAAAGTTATCTTGAACAATAGAATTGACTAATTAAAAAAGAAAATTAACAAGGTCCTAGAAACCCTATACAGGGTTACTATGAGTCAGACTCGCTCAATAGCAATGGGTTTGCATTTCAGGTCTGGTGGTGCCTGGTGGAGCAGCGGGTTAAGCATCACACTGCTTACCCAAAGATCAGTGGTTTGTACCCACCAGCCGCTCCCTGGGAGAAAGATGAGGCAGTTTGCTCCTATAAAGATGTACAGTCTTGGAAACCCTATGGCGTCTTTCTGCGCTGTCTTACGGGGTTTGCTATGGGTTGGAATCACTGGGTGGCAGCGGGTTTTTTTTTGTTTGGTCTGACTCCAGCCCCAGAAGGGTGTCAGATGTGTGCCACGGCTGAGAGCGTGCGCTGCCCAACCTGGGAGACTCCCTGTCCCCTCCCGCCTCCTTTCCATCCGCCCAGCATTGCCCGCTGAGACAGGAGCTGCATCCTTACTGCTGGGAGACTTCCTCACGCCTCTGGCTCCTTCTCCATCGCCACTAGCCCTTCCCCAGGCACCCACTCTTGCCCAAAGCCGGCCTCTTTATTTTCCCACCGTGGGCCTTAGGGAGCTTCGTGCTGACTTTGGGGCCATGTCTTGAGTGCTGAGACTGGCCCCAGAGGTGCTGCCTGAGCCCATTGCCCTTGCCCGGTACCCGGCTCCCCCCCCACCTCATGCTGCCAATGGACAGACTTCTTGGGGGGCTCCTGGGGGTTTCACACCCTCCGGCTCTGGCACAAGGAGCCCTGGTGGCACAGTGAGTGATGCGCTGGGCTGCTAACTGCAGGGTCAGCCGTTCACTCCCCCGTTCACTCCCCCGTGGGAGAAAGACGAGGCTTCCTGCTCCCGGGAAGATTGACAGCTTTGGAAACTCACAGGGGGAGTTCTGTTTGCCCTACAGGGCCACTCTGAGTCAGAATTGACTCAATGGCAGTGAGGTTTGTTCGGGAGGGGAGTTGGTTCTTACACAAGCTGCCCTTCCTGCTAAGCTGCCATGGCCCACAGGTTCAGCTCAGTGTCACCTCCTCCGGGAAGCTCCCCTGACTCTCACAAGGCTGGCCTTGGCTCTGCCTGTGACTCAAGCTGCTCATTCATGGGGCTGCCTACTCATTGAAACACGAGCTCTGGTGGGCCTCATGCCAGCAGACCCGTAGATCTTGGTACAGACTGGCATGGAGTGGGCACTCGATGCATGTGTATTCAGTGGGAGAATATGTGAAGGAGAAACAAGTGAAGGGGGGGCGGAGTGTGGGGAAAGAGGAACTGAGACATGATATACCACATCTGTTCCCACTAGGGATCTGTGTGAAGATTAACATCTCTGCAAACGCATTAATATGTCAACGAAAATATAAAAGCAGGTGATAACAGCTCAAGTAATGACGCTTCCCAACGATGCCCGTATTCCTTGGAGCCAAATTTCAGAAGAGCAAGAGTGAGCAATTGCTCACTCTCCAGTGCCTGGTGGGGAAGACAGAGAACCCTCTCCTGGCCCATTTCCAAGTGTAACTGGGACCAGGGGTAGGTGGGGCTGAGGGTGGTGCAGGCTTGCTCGGGAGTCAGGCAGAATGAGACCTGCCAAAGGGGCCCATGATGGTGGCGGGAGACACAGTCCAGGCCAGCAGGGGTGTGAGGGCTGTGAGGAAGGAGTTGGGAGTGAGGCTGGGGCTGGACCTGGGGGTCAGGCAGAGGACGCAATCTCTCTGAGGACCGTGTGGCAGTGCGTGCTTGGTCTGGTCACAGCCTACAATAAACACAATGAATCCAGCCTCATCTGGGGCGGGGAGCAATGTGGGGTCGCCATAGGTGCAGAACAAGAGCCAGATTTGGGGCTGAGCTGCTGTGAGGCCTGGCAAGCTGCCCAACCTCCACGAGAGCCCCAGCTTGGCCATGACTGGGAAATGGTAATGCCCCCCAGGGCTGGCAGGGCCTCGGGGGAGATCAGCTTGGGTCTGGTGTCCACCAGGGGTCCAGGCTGGAAAGCAGGCCCAGGTCACAAACACGAATCTGTCCTCACATTGCTGGGAACGTGCTGGAAAAGTCTGATAACCTCACTGGGCTCAAGTTTGTGTAAAGTTGAGCCATTGTGTAAAATGGACGCAGGTGTCTCCCCAGACTCCAAGGCTGCGCCTAATCAAGGCTGAGGGAGAAGTGGCTCATGGGCAGGCTAGGACGGTGGAGGACGGTCAGAGGGTGGTCTCAGTCTGCCTGACTCCTTCTCCATGCCACCTGCCTGTGGTAGCCAGCATCGTTGCCTTTGTGTATAGAGCAGCTGCTCTGGGGTGGAGCTTCCTGAAGCTGATGGGTAGGACCAGGCATACCCTCCAGTGGCACCTGGGGACAGAGCCTGGGAGGGCATTCATGGGGCTCCTGGGCCCCCTCACCTTGATCATCTGCGAGAGGTCACCGGCATCGGCCAGCTCCAGCACGATATTCAGCTCGTTGTCCTCGATGAATGAGTCCAGATACTTGATGATGTTTGGATGGTTCAGTTGCTGCCCATGGAGAGAGGGGGAGGTGGCACCCGTCAGGGACTGCACAGCCCCAGTGTCTGTCCTAGGCTGCTGGCACCCCATCACAGGGCCCTGGCATTTGCTGGAGAGAATGCTGGGTGCTTGGGGGAAAGGCCTGCCCTTGGGAGTCAGGCAGATCTGGGTGGCACTGGGAAAGCCATTTTGCATCTTTGAGTCTGTTTCCGTAGCTAAACACGGGCATGCTGTTTTGAAGAGTGCCCGTGAGGATCAGCTAGGCAGCTGCCCGGAGTATGTCCAGGAATGCTGGCCCAGACTCCACAGCCGTGGTGGACACCTGGAAATCCCCACTCAGGACCCTCAAGAGAGGTGGGGCCCACACTGCTTTGTCCCGGGCTCAGCATGTGGCCTCTTCCTTCTTTCTCCTCACTCTTACGCAATCGCTGGCCTGGAATCCTGGCAGGAGAATGTCCCTGACGAACCTGCCTTCTGCTCTACTGCTAAGCCCGTGTGTCTGCTGACGTTGCTGCCGGGGAGCCGGGGCACCAGGGAGGCAGCCGGCGAGTGCCAGCTCCAGCCCACAGGGCCAGATCACAGTCTGCACTCCAGAAGGCAGCTGTGCTGCTCTCAGTGTCTAAGGCAAGGAGGCCCTGGCAGAAACTGCATTCTCTCATTTCCCAAGCTTGTCCCTGAAGGATAGGGACCCCTCCTCCTGGCAGCCCTCACCCAGTGTCCCTCTGCCATGCCACACCTGTCATGCCCACCCCTCTCTCCGCCACACTCCTGTCCCTGAGGAAGCCCTGGCTGGGATGGTAGCTGCGGAGGGGTGGACAGAACAGAACAAACTGCCCCCTGAGGTTGACTCTTGGCAGTTCTCAGGGGCGCTGGGACTCACGGCCCCTCTTGCCATCATGGAGGAGGGTCTGAGTGCCCACAGTCCATCGCCCTCACCGGGCTGCACCTCCTCTCAGTGCTCTCAGGCTCTCTACGCCAGCCTACATGGGGCTGCCACACCCCCCGCCTCCGCTGTGGTGGAAGGTTCCAGTCTGGGGGTCTTGGCATGATGATGGGAATGGGACTGCCCACTGTCCCCTCTGAGCACCGGGTTCCTTTTGCTTTGTGGGAAGCCCTCGCACCCCTGGTCCCTCCTGCGGACTTCCAGTGGGTGGCTAGGGAAGTGGGTAGGTGCTCCTGAAAGGGCCTGGGGGAGCTGGCAGAAGGGATGACATTATGCGGGCCCTAAGCCCTTCGCATGCCTTTGCTTCCTGACGCCCCCACACCTCTGCAGTCGCCCTGTTATCATCACCTCTTTTTACAGAAGAGGCAAGGCCCCCGGAGGCCGGGCAGCTTGCTTGAGGTCACATGGCTACTGAGCTGGAGCAAGGGGGCCCTGCTTCCGATTCGCTGGGACACTGCTGGGGTAGGGACGGGAGCCCGAGCAGGAGGACACATGGTGGGCTAGACTCCTCACATGGGGAGGGCCACCTTGAGGCTATGCTGCGGCCACATATTTTAGTGGCCAGGGACCCAGAACAGGCCTGCTTAGAAAGGGTGTGGTCAAAACCACCTGCTGTGTCAGTCCATCAGTCAGTGTGGGCCTGTGAGCTGCACAGCTAGGCTCTGGGCCATTGGGAAGGGAAGTGGGGGTGGGGGTGGTGGTGGTGGTGAGGGTGGCCAAGCAATGGTTCTCCAGAACTTAGAAACCAGAGTTCCCAAGCTGGTCCTGACTTCAGGTTGTTAGATGTCAGCATTTGAAGGCTCTTTCCCTAGCTGTAATAGAGCGAAGGACCCCACTTTTGGGCCTCCACCTTTGCCTCCGTGACATCCCGTCCTGGTTCTAACACTCCTCTAGTGGCTCCCCTTTGTCCCCACCTTCCAGTTCCTTGTCCTGAGGCCCCACAATCTGGTCTACCAACCTCTCCAGTCTTTCCCCTCCCCGCACTATTCGGTTCCCTGCAGCAGACTCATCTCAGCCTTCTAGATGGTTCCAGGACAGGCCCAGACAGTCAGTGTGTGCTTCCTAGCCGTTCCTCAGCCTGGAGTCCACAGAGCCAGTGACCAGGTCTGAGAACTCAGGATAGGGCCACCTGCCCATCTGAAATTCTGCAGCCACTGCTTGGGGTGCAGCCCTGCTATGGGCAGCCCCATTTTACCATCAGCTGCTCAGCAAACCAGGTGTGTTTGTGGGGCGGGAAGAGGATGCCACGTAGGTACCTTCTGTGTGCACTACCACACCGGGCCCTTTTTAGATAATATTTTATTTAATCCTCTGTCCTCTCATACCCTATGAACAGATGGGCAACCAGAGGTTCAGAGAAGTGAACTCACTTGCTGAAGGACGCGTAGCTAGTAATTGAAGACATTAGGATTTGAACTCAGGCCCCAGTGCTGCCACTAACGCTCTCCCCTTTTCTCCACTCCCAGACCGCTCCATGGACATGGTGCTGTCCCCCACGGGAACCCTTTCTGAACTTCATGGGAGCTCTGCTCGACATGACACTGCCCGGCCTGTACCTGAGGTCACTCAGAGGAAAGGAAGGGTAGCCGCTGGGCCCAGGACACTCACCTTCAGGAGGCCAATCTCTTTGACGCAGTCCTGCCTCGCCTTAGCGTCCATCATCTCAAATATCTAAGGAGGGGGAAAAAGAGAAACCGAGTAGTTAAAACACAGGCATTCTCCACTCCCAACTCCTCAGCCAGGGATCATGCCAATGAGACACTGAGCACTTACTGCACGAGGCATGGTATTGCCCCCAGCTCACCTCACAGCGGAGGAGCAGGCCAGAAAGCTCGCTCGGAGCCTCAGTGTTCACTTCTGTAATTGGGGGCAGTGGCTCAACCTCACAAGGCAGTCTTGGAGATTGAGTAAGACGATGTAAGAAGATGTGAGTCAAGCAGCCACCATGGGGTCCTTGGACCCCTCAGACATAGGAAACCCTCGGTCATGGAGTCGATTCTGGTTCATGGCTACCTGGTAGGGCAGACTAGACCGGCTCCTGGGGTTTCCTAGATTGTAAATCTTTCCAAGAGCAGACAGCCCTGTCTTTCTCCTGCAGAGTAGCTGGTGGGTTTGAACCGCTGACCTTGTGGTTAGCAGCCTGGCACCTGACCCACTGTGCCACCAGGGCCAACAAAAACCTAAACCAAACCCACTGCCATCGAGTCATAGCAACCTTATAGGGCATGATCGAATCACCCCTGTGGGTGTCTGAGACTAACTCCTAATAGGAGTAGAAAGCTTTGTCTGTCTCCTGCACAACAGCTGGTGGGCTTGAACCGCTGACCTTGCAGTTAATGATTATCTGTCAGCACCACCAGGGTCACAGTGCTCATTAACTGTGTGCTCCCTCCAGCACATTCTGACTTGCAGCTCAAGCAAAAGGTCGACAGCTTGCAGCTCCCTCACGAACCAGTCAAGTGAGAGCCTCCTTGGAAGATGAAGAGCAGTGAGTGGGGGCCTTCTATGGAGGGAGGGCCCAGGGGTCCCCCAGCCTGCCGGGGCCAGCAGACGCCACATGCAGCATCCAGATCAGCAAGCTGGCCTCTTTGCCTCTGCCTGCCCATCCCTGACTTTGTCTGCATTTCCTGGGCACCCTTGGCCCAGGCTGTTAATCCCCTTCTTTAAGGATAAGTGAGCAAAATTAAGGGATGCAGACAGCTTTGCCAGAGGTTTTAAAGCCTTTTTCCTGCAGCGAAATGGGCCTGGTGGCTCCTGCTGAACTGCTTCTTAGCCTTAGTTGGCTGCCTCAGCCGTCTTCCTCGGCCTGGGAGGGAGGAGCACGGAGGTTGCTGGGGACTGGAAGCACCGCATCCAGGAGAGGAGGAGGCTGGTTTGACTCTCACCACCTCTTTAACTCACTCTGTGGCCTTTGGCGAAATACTTAATCCTGGGGTAAGGATCCCAACCCCAGGGTGACTGTCTCTGTACCAGGAGGCTACCTGGAGAAAGCTCCTGTACAAGCTGGCATACAGCAGGTGCTCAGCTGTGATCACTTCTTCTTTACAGGATGGGCAGAGCCCTGGTGGCATCGCGGTTATGTGTTAGGCTGCTAACTGCAAGGTCAGCAGTTTGAAACCACCAGCTGCTCCCTGGGAGAAAGATGGGCTTTCTACTCCCATGAACAGTTCTAGTCTCAGAAACTCACAGGGGGTAATTCTACCCTGTCGCTATGAGTTGGCATTGATTTGATGACAGGGGCTTGGTTTTCTGGAGTTTGGTAAGCTTGGTGGGGTCTCCCAGTCCAGTGCACCGGGTACTTGGTTCCAGTGGAGGGAAAGGGAAGGGCTACCCACTGAGATACCGGCGCCTGTTCTCCCTGTGGCTTTGCCCACATGGGCCCGTCGACTCACCTGCACTTTCTTCAGCGCCACGGTCTTCCTGTCCAGCAAGCAGGTGGCCTTGTACACCTCGCTGAACTGCCCACGGCCGATCTTCTTCTCGATCTGGAAGTCAGCCAGAGAGCAGCGAAAAGACGGGGTGGCAGGATGCCTCTGCAGGGGCAACAAGGGAGGTGAGGGCCTGAACCTGGGCACACTGACTCTCACACAACCACCCAAGGTGGAGGAGGGCCTTTCAGACCCCTAGAGCTCCTTTACCCACCTGGTCCCATCGAATCCCCACGATGCGCCCCCTGCAGCAGAGAATGATGCCGGGGACCTCCTGCATGGCACTGTCACCCTCTAGAGTCTGTTCCCGCCCCCAGAGGCTGGCACAATGCAACCCGTGGCTTGCTGGCCAGGTCAGCTGCCCAGATGAGCATGACCCCTGGACAGAGTCAAGGATGCAGAGTGATGGACAGTGGGGGCTCACCAGACCCTCGGCCTCCACCCTCTGATGCCCACCCCTCAGGTGGCCACCTTTCATCTCAAGAGAGGAGGAAGCTGAGCCCAAGTTGGACTCCTTGACTTGGCTAGACATTGCAGCCTTATATCCTGAGCCTTGTCCTCCAGAGAAACTGCCCCTTCTGTCCTGACACGAAGACACAGAGATTTCAGGGTGACCTGGTAGGGACAGTATTGAAACCCAGGGATGAAACTTCCAGGTGAGGGGACAAGTGGCCAAAAACCCCTCCCGCTGCTCCTACAGCACATGCACGAACAAGCTTTCAGAACAGAGTGGGAGAGGCACCCACAGCAGGCCCTGGCCAGAGGAGAGGGGAAGGAGGGAGGGCGGGCAGCAAGGCCAGGTGTTTCTTGTTGTGACTCCATTTGCCAGATGGGGAAACTCAGGCCCGGGGGCCAGCCCTGCCTGTGGCTCACTATTCCAGGCAAGCTTCCCTGATGGCTTAGGGCAGAGTCTCCCCTCCCAGGAGCGCCTGGATTCTCACTCAGTCAGGAGCTCCCCGCACTAGAGACCACCAGCTAGAGGGATGGTGGCCTGACAACAGTGATGGAGCCTTCACAATCGGTGCACAGAAATGCTTGTTTGGTCCTGCCTGAGGGGCGGGGCATGGCAGGAAACGCAGTGTCCCAGTACAGCAGGGGCCAGCTGTAGACTTTGCTGAGATGAGCAGCCACGAGGGTGGCAGATCCAGGGGTGAGGCTGCACAGTGGGGCCCTTCCTTAGCCTCAATACAAACCTCAACCAATACCACCCGGAAAGTGTCTTTAGAATCACAGGGGACGCGAGGCTCAGTGCTGGGGCCCTCCAACCCTCGTAGGACTGCTGGGAGGATCACTGGAGAGAGCAACGGAAATAACTTCTTAGCACACAGTAGGTGCTCAGCAGCTGGGCAGGCATGGGCAGGGCAGAGACGCCACGGAGACCCTGAGTGGCCAGTTCCTGGATCCCTGTCCCCCAGCCTTCTGGTGCTGTGCCTGTTGCGTGCCAACAAAGCCCCAAGCCTCAGAGTGGGCTCACCTGCCAGGGATCTTGGGAGTCCGGGTCTTATAGCCCTGCAGCCAAGCTTCCTCCATCCCCCAGCAAGATAAAAGCTGGCTCGACCTTGACTTTGAAGTCCCCTGAGGCATAGTTACCTCCACGTGGATGATCTGAAGCGACTCCCGTTAAGTGAAGGAGGAAGATGAAGATGACTCGCCATGTGCCAAGTGTGTGTCCGGGAGGTTCTCTCTATTAACCTGGTTACATGGAGCCCACTGAGGAAGAGCAAGCCTTTATTTCGCACTTACTGTGTGCTGGGCACGGTGCGTGTTTGCCAAGCACCACTTGGGGAGTTCTGGGAGGGAACAGCCTTGCTATTCCCATTTCTGGAAACTTAGGCTTGGGAGGGGATCAGTGAATTACTCCAGGTGCCACTGTGAGGCATTGGCGGAGCTGGGACCTGAACCCCAGGCCTGGGGGTGGCTCCAGCCTGAGCCCTTTGCTCTCTACCAGATTTTTGCTCCCAAGTCACCCGATTCTGCTTTTCTGTCAAGACCCCACCACTAGCAAGGCCTGCCACTTCCTGAGCCCTCTGCCACTTTTCCATCCCCCCATCCCCTCTTTGTCTCCCCCACTGTGCTTGGGAATATCTGTGGAATGACGCAAAAGTGTATTCAATTTCAGGGACACCAAGGTCAACTGACATAACAACAACGACAATTTTCTAAACCACTGATGCCCAAACTTGTTTGGCCTATTTCCCCCTTTCAGGAAAAACAAAACAAAACTCTTCATCCTCCTGACAAAAACATTTGTATTATAGCCCACAATTCAGGATAAAGTGTACGTATCTACTTTTGCAGCTCACCTGGATCATTCTGGCACCCCCAGTAAGTGGTTGAGATAGTTAAGGTTTATTATGCCAACTTGGCCGATAAACACATGTGGGATTAATTGAAGGGCGGAGGGATAAATGGCTCACTGAGCCTTGCCTTTCTAGTTCTCGGGTCTCTTATTTTCTGATGGTCAGACCAGGGTGCAGCTGCCTTAGCCAGTTCCCTGCTTTAGTTTGCAAGGCTCACTTCCTGCAAGACATCCCTGAGGAGAAGCCACATGGATCTACCCAGATGCAGGCCTGGGTGCTGGAGCAGCTGTGTGGAGACCCCTGCCAGCACTGAGATGCTTACACGCTCACCGATTCGGCTTTCCTCCTGCAGTCAGCATCATTGCGTGTGTTTTGTGAGATTGAGGAGGACTTTGTAGATTGGTGTTGGACATATGGACTAATGGAGTTGGGATGTTTTCTTCGTGTACACTTACTCTTTATATAAAACTCTCTCTGATACATATGAGTTTCTGTGGATTTGTACTTCCCACTTTGGAAAACACAGTTCTAAATTCTACTTTAGGCAGTAGCAACTGGGGTCTTCTATGCTCAGGAGTGGCCATCTAGGGTGCAACGATTGTCTCTCCCTTCCCAGAAGAAATAAGTGATGAAAACAGAAAGACACAGAGAAACAATTAGTCTAGTGGACTAATGGACCATGCAAACATCAGGCTCCATGACTCTGAGACCAGAAGAACTAGATGGTGCCTGGCTACCACCACCAACTGCTCTAAGAGGGATCACAACATTAGGAGATACAGGGTAAAGTGGGGGGGAAATAGACGAACACTCAAAATTATACATATACCAGGGTTACTGGTTGAGGGGAGACTGGTAGGACCCCCAGCCCCTAACTTCCCCAAGATTATGGACCTCAGTCACTTTTCAGATCTGGAATTGGATTTACTCCTGTGGCTTGATTTTGAGCCAAACAATCGACAGGTCTTTAAGGGGAACAATAGCACTAGTCAGGCGCAAGCACCTTGGAATGAGCAGCCTTTGTGATCAAGAGGCAGCATTTTCCCAAAGAGGAAGTTGGGAAGGGTGAGGAAAGGAGGAGAAGTGGCATGGACCTGAGAGGATGTGGGGTACGGATAGCACATGCCAGGGACTGCAGTGAAAAAGAGACAACGAATGGCATGTGTGTGAATTGATCTGTCTGTAAACTTTCACCCAATACAGAATTTTAAAATGTGTGTGTTTGTTTTTAAGTGCTTTTAAAACAGCGTGGGACCCCGACTCAGCTACTTTCCCCTCTGAATGCAGCCTGAGCCACAGGTCTGCATGACAAGCCCAGGTACCTTTCTCGGCACAGGATGAATCAGAGGCGTCCATGAAATTAACAGCAAGCAACCCCAGCCACCAGGCTAGAGAATCAATGACTTCAATCTTGTGAAGCAAGGACTGCCAAACCCATTTGATCAATAAGGAAACCGAGGCATGGGTCACGTGGCTAGTGGAGGGGCAGCTGGGGCTGGAGTCCTCCTGTATCCCAAGTCTGTGCTCGTAACCACACAGCTGTGCTGTCAGGTGACAGGAGGAGGGGCCCACCGTGTCCTCTCAGGGCCTCAGTTTCCCCCCTGGCACAGTGAAGGGTTTGGAAGATGTGATTTCCAGGGGTCCTGGGAGGGGGAGGCTGTCCAGAATCCTGCCACTCACTGCTCACCCCAGGGATGTGCCTGGGAGGCCTCCTGCCCACCTCACAGCAGGGGGAAGAGCTCCTGCTGATGTGGGTGAAATCATAGCCGGCACCCTGTGACTTCAGCAGCGCATCTGCATATGGGATGACCCAGATTTGCATTTCCTGTCACAATCCATTCGACCTAATTAAAGGAAGGCTCTCTGTGGTGAGGGCAGGTTCTAGAGGCAGCAGCGCTGCATGCACAAGGTCGGCGTCTGGGCATCGAATACAGGCCGTGCGGGCTCGGGGGCAGCCACTGCCCTCGCAGGGGCTGGGGTGAGGCTCTGTTCCCAGGGTGGTGGGGGGACATACTGGTCAGATGGAGGGCACCTGAGGACACTGGGACTTCTGGGCACCGCCATTGGAGCCAGCACAGTCCTGGCCCTGATGGAACTCAGGGGCTCGGAGTGGACAGGGGAAACTTGCTCTGCCCTCGAATGCCAGGTCTCCCCGAGTTACTGCCTCAAGGCCCGAGTCCCCTCCTGGCCAGCCTCTCCCATGCTCTGCACTGTCCTTGCAGCAGAGTGGGCCTGAGCCCATCATTGCCATAACACCGGGGCGTCAATGACAGGAGCTCCAGGGTTTCCGAGGCTCCCAAGAGAGGATGCTGGTGAGAAGCCTGGGCAATCCTGGGCTGGCAGGAGCTTGAGGGTTCAGTGAGAAAACACAGGGAGGCCCCCGAACAGCTCCATCAACAGTGGCTCCAGTAATAACAATGTTCTAACACACTGACCACCTTTCAGATAACTAGTCAACGCGTGCTTACTGGGCCCTGCTATTCCCAGACCCTGTGGGGGCTCCTGGGAGATACAACGCCTGGGGCACGGTCAGCACCGAACCTCTGCGCTGGCTCCAAGAGTTAACACACTGGAGCCCCGAGGCATGGGTTCCAAACCAGGCCCTGCCGATTTCTGGCTGTGGACCTTGGGCACACCTTTCTGGGCCTCGGTTTCCTCACCTGCACAGTGGAGACAATGAGAGTGTCCCCTTCAGAGGGCTGCTGGGAAGAAGGGCCACATGGGTTAGTGAAACGTCTCAGAGGGGAGCCTGGCGCAGAAGTAACACAGGACAGTTGTGGGGGTTAATACTGGAATCAGCATAGA